AAGGTTAAGATTGTTATGTGTGAACTTGATCCTGCCATTATGATATTAACTGGTTATTTTGCTCGTTAGTTGATGCAGTTTCTTCCTAGCCTCGATGGTCTTTACATTTTGGCATGTTTTTGCAATGGCTGGTACCGGTTGTTCCTTTCCATGTTTAGTGCTTCCTTCAGGGTCTCTTGTAAGGCAGGCCTAGTGGTGACAAAATCTCTAAGCATTTGCTTATCTGTAAAGGATTTTATTTCTCCTTCACTTATGAAACTTAGTTTGGCTGGATATGAAATTCTGGGTTAAAATTCTTTTCTTTAAGAATGTTGAATATTGGCCCCCACTCTCTTCTGGCTTGTAGAGTTTCTGCCGAGAGATCTGCTGTTAGTCTGAGGGCTTCCCTTTGTGGTAACCCGACCTTTCTCTCTGGCTGCCCTTAGATTTTTTCCTTCATTTCAACTTTGGTGAATCTGGCAATTATGTGTCTTGGAGTTGCTCTTCTCGAGGAGTATCTTTGTGGCGTTCTCTGTATTTCCTGGATTTGAATGTTGGCCTGCCCTACTAGGTTGGGGAAGTTCTCCTGGATGATATCCTGAAGAGTGTTTTCCAACTTGGTTCCATTTTCCCCCTCACTTTCAGGCACCCCAATCAGACGTAGATTTGGTCTTTTACGTAATCCCATACTTCTTGCAGGCTTTGTTCATTTCTTTTCTTCTTTTTTCTTTTGGTTTCTCTTCTCGCTTCATTTCATTCATTTGATCCTCAATCGCAGATACTCTTTCTTCCAGTTGAGCGAGTCGGTTACTGAAGCTTGTGCATTTGTCACGTATTTCTCATGTCATGGTTTTCATCTCTTTCATTTCGTTTATGACATTCTCTGCATTAATTACTCTAGCCATCAATTCTTCCACTTTTTTTTCAAGATTTTTAGTTTCTTTGCGCTGGGTACGTAATTCTTCCTTTAGCTCTGAGAAATTTGATGGACTGAAGCCTTCTTCTCTCATCTCATCAAAGTCATTCTCCGTCCAGCTTTGATCCATTGCTGGCGATGAGCTGCCCTCCTTTGCCGGGGGAGATGCGCTCTTATTTTTTGAATTTCCAGCTTTTCTGCCCTGCTTTTTCCCCATCTTTGTGGTTTTATCTGCCTCTGGTCTTTGATGATGGTGATGTACTGATGGGGTTTTGGTGTAGGTGTCCTTCCTGTTTGATAGTTTTCCTTCTAACAGTCAGGACCCTCAGCTGTAGGTCTGTTGGAGATTGCTTGAGGTCCACTCCAGACCCTGTTTGCCTGGGTAGCAGCAGCAGAGGCTGCAGAAGATAGAGTATTTCTGAACAGCGAGTGTACCTGTCTGATTCTTGCTTTGGAAGCTTCCTCGCAGGGGTGTACTCCACCCTGTGAGGTGTGGGGTGTCAGACTGCCCCTAGTGGGGGATGTCTCCCAGTTAGGCTACTCAGGGGTCAGGGACCCACTTGAGCAGACAGTCTGTCCCTTCTCAGATCTCAACCTCCGTGTTGGGAGATCCACTGCTCTCTTCAAAGCTGTCAGACAGAGTCGTTTGCATCTGCAGAGGTTTCGGCTGTGTTTGTTATTGCCCTGTCCCCAGAGGTGGAGTCTACAGAGACAGGCAGGTTTCCTTGAGCTGCTGTGAGCTCCACCCAGTTCGAGCTTCCCAGCAGCTTTGTTTACCTACTTAAGCCTCAGCAATGGCGGGCGCCCCTCCCCCAGCCTCGCTGCTGCCTTGCCGGTAGATCACAGACTGCTGTGCTAGCAATGAGGGAGGCTCCGTGGGTGTGGGACCCTCCCGGCCAGGTGTGGGATATGATCTCCTGGTGTGCCTGTTTGCTTAAAGCGCAGTATTGGTGTGGGAGTTACCCGATTTTCCAGGTGTTGTGTGTCTCAGTTCCCCTGGCTAGGAAAAGGGATTCCCTTCCCCCTTGCGCTTCCCAGGTGAGGCAATGCCTCACCCTGCTTCAGCTCTCGCTGGTCGGGCTGCAGCAGCTGACCAGCACCAATCGTCCGGCACTCCCCAGTGAGATGAACCCAGTACCTCAGTTGAAAATGCAGAAATCACCGGTCTTCTGTGTCGCTCGCGCTGGGAGTTGGAGACTGGAGCTGTTCCTATTCGGCCATCTTGCTCCGCCCCCTAGGTGAATATATGTTTTAATTGTTATAGCTGACTGTTAGGATTGACTCTTTTCATGACCTTTAGCTCTCATCACAATTTTTGTCTTAAAGTCTATTTTGTTTAATATTAGTATAGCCACTGCAGCTTTCTTTTGCTTAGAGTATACATGAAATATCTTTTTTCTATTATTTTATTTCAACCTATCTGTGTTTTTCAATCTAAAATATGTCTCTTGTAGACAATATATATTTGAGTCATGTTTTTTATTCATTCTGCCTTTTAACTGATAAGTTTAATCAATTTCCATTTAATATCATTACTAATGAGTAAGGACTTACTTGTGACATTTTCTGTTTGTTTTCTATATGTTATTTTTCAATTCTTTCACTATTGCCTTCTTTTGTGTGAGGTAGATTTTTTTAAGTGTATCATTTTGGTTCGTTTTTTATCTATTTTTTTTTTGTTATTTTCTTAGTGGTTGCCCTATGATTACAATTAACATCTTAGTTTATAATTAATTAAGTTTTTCTTCCTGTAAGTGGACCATACTTTCTTTGTTTGCATGTATCATACTTTTGGTTGAAAATTGCATATCGGATATGTTGAATATTACAATATGGTAACTCTGGAAATCAGATTCTCCTGCCTTCTAAGAATTTGTTGTTTCTGCTTGTTGTAGGTTGTATTTGTTTGTTGCTGACTTTTCTAAACTACTATTTAAAGACTGTATACTTTGTCACATGTGGTAACTGAAATCTCTAAAGTCACTGAAGTCTTACAACTTTTGTGGAAGGATGGACTTTTAGAGTTTCCTACTCTACCATTTTTGTTAATGTTATTCCCATCATTACTTTTAAATTTTATATTGTCATTATCCTTGAGCATTTCATAAATAGTTTATGTATTCTATATCTAAGAGTTCTAATATATAATGTGTTTGCCTTTTAAGTCTTGTTTGTTCTGCTAACTCTTGTTTGGAGTGGCTTGTTTTCTTGTATGTTTGGGTTTTTTATTTTAATTGTAAATTTATATTTGGCTGAAACTAACTTGTGAGAATTCTAAGGAATCAGAGTTGATGATGCCTTTCTCTGCATGAGTATTTCCTAGTAGCGTGCATTTTTTCCCCAGACCACACAGATAGTGTAAATTAAAAACCCAGAACTAGTTTTGCATATACTCATAAATTCCTGGGGCAGACTATTATATTTTTAACAATTTTTTTCCACCTGGATCTGCAGGTAGAAATATGCTGGTTTTCCTGTAGATTTTTATCACTGCCAGTTTTTTCCTAGTCCAACCTATTATTAAGGGGATAATTCTTCCAGCAGTCTCAGATGTGTGTGGCAACTGTAGTTTGCTCTTCCATTTTATGTAGACTCAAACAAGGCCTAGTCTTCTATTTCTCCTCAGCATTAATCCCTGAAGCTATATGTTCTTTGTATGGGCATTTGTACCCACAGCACCCACAGCTTCCATGTTATTTATTGCTCTGGTTTCATCTGATTATTATTTTGACCCTTGAGGATTCCCTTATTTCTGTGAGCCCTGGTATAGTCCACTATATATCCAGAAGCAGAATTCTATGATTCAATAATCTTGGGCTCAAATTCATATAGAAATTTAAGTTGATGGATCTGGATTTGTATCTCAGCTCTGCCACTTACTACCTCTGAAGTGACTTGGGAAAGTTACATAACCTCTTTAAGCCTCAATTTCCTATCTGTGGAATAAGTATAGTAATACCTCAAACATAAGGTTATTGCAATGATTAGTGGAATAGCACCCGTCACAAATGGCCTGGTATATAAATCTTAACCTAACGCTAAAAAAATTTTAACTGCATTTACTTTTACTATTAAAGTGTGAACTTGTGAGTAACCATTTGTAACCTAGTTCTTTAGCTATGAAATGGGAATTTCATGTTTGTTAGCAGTACTCAAGAGAATAAATGCAAAGTATAAATCACAGTACTTGGCACATAAGAAACAACCAATGAATTGTAACAATTATTTATAAGAACTATAAAAATAACAGGCTATACACAAAGCTGTCTACATTGATTTAGTAAGTGGTCAGTTGACGATGAAGATAACATCTTGCCACATTAAAAAATAAGCTTGAAGAGATTTGATGAGTAGTGTTTCATATAGTAATATCTTTGTAAAACTATGTGTCTTCCAATCCTCCTCACCCCCACTCCACAACACACACACACACACACACACACACCCCTTAGCTTTTGGAATACTTTCAGGTGCACATGGTAACACTTGTGTACAATCCACTTTTATCTAAAAAAGGGAGTCTAGGATTGAGGAGCAATAGATTTGTCTCCATTACATAAACTTTGAAGGGAACAGATTAAAATTTCACTGCACATCTGAAATGAAATCTATTTTGAGTGTGTGTCTAACATTGCTTGTTGTTATAACTTTATGCTTTGATGTATTGAGTTGGCTTTGAATTTTTTTCCCTTATTAGTTTATATCTATGATTGCATTTTACTAGCTGACTAATTAGTTTTGTGTGTATTTTTCATCTCTGGGGAATTAATCTTTATTTTGTGTACATTTGAAGTTTTTCTGAATTTTTAAAATTTTTTCTAAACTGACTTTACTCTCTTGCTGTCTCCAGTTTCCCATTAGGGATTGGGAGATCTGCATTCTAGTTTTGTCTGTGGCACAACTCGCTGCCTGACCTAAAGTACTTGCCTTCTCTGGGCTTCAGTCCCTTATTAATCAAATGGGGGAGTAGGATTATGTGACCTGTAATCTCCATTTTAGCTCTATCTATGATTTAGAGAATCATACCAGCATATCAAATACTACCTGAATATGTTAAGATTGAGAAGATGCAGGCTGTGAGTACAATAATGTAAAGAACTTCACATACAGCAAGAAACAAATATCAAGGTAACAAAGAGCAATCAAAAAGAGCAAAAGAAAATTATGTGTTCCAGTGGTGATTATGTCATTTTGGAGACAAGGTTGAAAACCAGAGCTCGGTCATGTGGTGTAAGGATTCGTCAAGGCAGGTGAAAGGATTTCTTCCGCTGATCAGTAACTGGGATAAGGCATCCTGAGTAAGCAACGGGCCCTGGCCTTCGATGGGATCACTCCATACAACATTAGCAACAGTCATTTGGGACCTTAAGTGAGATTAAACGCCAGAAAAAGATCCAGGGTCTGCTTTGGTAGAAAGGGCACGGGAACCAAGTAATACGGGCTCATCCTATGCCTGACACCTAGGATACCTTCCAAGTGGAAAAGAACATTAGTTGGAAGGCCACAGTGGAGTTTCAGGGAAGAGGAGGCCACATTTCTTGAGCCTTAGGACACTCAGGAGGAAGTCGGCGGGTCGGGCAGGGATGCAGAGTGGTTGCTCCCTTGGAGAATGGGACTTCATTTGTCTACACAACGCACATTCCTCTCCTGAAATTCTCGACTCTTTCGGATAAATTTCTGTTAAAGTGAACGTCAAGTCAGTCTTCAGGCTCTTGAAGGAAAACAGAAAAGAGATTCCTGTAAGAGGTTGAGATGGGTGTGAGTGGTCGATAAGCAATGAAACAAACAATTAACCACCTCCTTTGGCTGCTCTGCCTACACCTCCTGGCATAGTACTCAATTCCCAGCGCAGAGGAGGAACCAGTCTGTGCGGAGTCTCCAACAATCAGCGACGTAGGAAATGTTTCCGAGACACTAATTGGCTCGATTGCCTGGAGCGCTCCTGGACCGAAAGCTGTGACTGGTTGAGGCGTTGCCTGGCGACGTGTTACTCAGTGGCACAGTATGTCGGTAGAGGCCCGCTGGTTGCTACGCAACAGGAAACATTCCGCGCTACCGAATGCTTTCTACTCCAAGACCAGGCATTGCTCTCTCTGGAGACCCTCGGCGTTGGTTGCTCTATTCTGACTTGGTGAGTCCTGGGAACCGACCCTCCGGGCTGGGCTCGGATTACTGGGCCAGAAACAAAGCCTGGCTTTCGGAGAATATAAAGAAAGGTTCAAAGAGGCAGAGAAAGTCAATGGAAAGGCATTTCAGTGATTGTCTCCTATCCGCCCATCATTTTAGAGGGGTGGAAAGTGAGCAATAGCGGCATCAAGAGACTTGTCCAAGATCTCACGCTGAGTGGTCAAATCTGGACCTGCGCTGTTAAATACAGTAATCATTAGACCTTGTGTGGCTAGTCTGAATTGAAATGTGTTCATATGTAAAAAGCACACTGGATTTTGAAGGCGTGATAGCAAAAGAGAAAATATCACTATAATTTTTATATTGTGTGTTTAAATGATTATGTTTTGGATATGGTAAATAAAACACATTATTAAAATTAATTTCACCTATTTATTTTTTAAAATGCTATTACTTGAAAATTAAAATTGCATACAAAGCTCTCATATTTCTATTGGCCAGCACTGATCTATATAAAACCTAGGTCTGCCGATACCTGATTCAAGACCTCTTGTGCTAACACTATGTTGGAAGGTGTTTCGAAGTATCTCCACTCATGTAATGGGGTGGAAGTGTGCGTAGTGGTGCAGAGTGCAAGACCATTACAAAAGGCTCATATTTGTAGTGTTTTAGGACCTTGCTACTCAAAGTGTATGAATCAGAACCTTCATCTTAACAAGCTCTGCAAGTGATTGTCCTGCACGTTAAAGCTCCAGAAGCACTGTTTCAGAAATTAGCCCTCAATTCTTTTTTTGTCCTTTGTTTCTTCTTGAGTACCTATACTGTATTTTTCAGACTGCATTTTGAACAAGTTCCGCAGGAGATGAGAAACATTGAACTCAATACTATTTGCATTTCCTTTTGTCCTTCCAAATCTAGACCAGTGTGGTCCCCAGATGAGCAGCGGCAGCAGCATCCCCCAAGAACTTGCAAGAAATGCAAATTCCTGGGTTCCACCCTAGCTACAGGGGTTCTTGAAGCCTAGGCACAGTTTCTAATTTTTTATTCCTTTGATTCAAGTCCTCGGTTCAGGAAGACTGGGGTAACTTTGATGGGTTTTATTTGAGGGGAGTGAGCGAATTCAACTCTTTCTAGTCCTTAAGTCCCTCTCCAGTAGCCTTCTTCCCCAATCCTTTTGATCTACTTTTCATTTTCTTTTTCCTCACCTATCCTTTCCAGGAGTAAGGATGACTTCTCAGGCCACAGATAGTGAATTTGACCTGACAAATATTGAAGAGTATGCTGAAAATTCTGCACTTTCAAGACTGAATAATATAAAAGCCAAAGGAAGAGTGAGTTATGTGACATCCACAGAAAATGAATCTGATCCACAAATCCTAACATTTAGGCACATTACAAAAGCTCAAGAGAAGACAAGAAAACGACAGCAGCCTATAAAACTAGAGCCTTTGGTAAGTTCAGAAACCATTGTTTTAGCCTCTGTAGCCACAGAGGAAGTTGCAAAATTGCTTTGGAGGATGGAAGTTATTTCCAGACTCTGAATTGACCAAGAAGGAATGAAAAGCTAAAAGATAATAACTGTTTATGTAGTTGTAAATACGGTAAATATTAATTAAACAAATATTAAGTTCTAGGCACTGTTTAAGTTGAAGGATACAGTGGTGAACAAAGTTTTCAGGCAGATAAGTCCTCTCTAGGATTATGTACAATACAGATACTTAACTATGTATGCTATTAGGCACTTTTAGATATTAGGGTACCATTTAACCCTGAGAAGTTTAGTAAACATGTTATATTTAGTTATATAGTTTTATTATTTTCAAAGTACATGCCTTTGTATTTAAAAAAGTGTGTGCATGTTGAAAATACTTAATTTTTAGAAACCATTTATGCCCTTGGATAATTATAAATGCATGTAGAGAGCCATGAAAGCGAAAAAATTAAAAAGTGAAAGTTGTCCTCTCCACCTTTAGATGTTAGCTACCATAATTAGTGGAGTGCCCTTCAGACTGTTTTATGTTTATTCAAATGTTTATATTTGTATTTATAAACATAGACAGTTTTAAAGTAAGATTATACAATACATACTGATCTCCAAAGTGCTTATTTCACTTAAACATATAGAAATGTTTCTAATTCTTGAATAGAGTAGTGTCTTTTCTAACAGCTACACTGTATTTTGTTGCATAGAGGTGCCATAACATAGTACTGGTTAACTGGTCTCATATTTATGTGAGCTCAAGTAATTTCATTTTTATTTTTTGTTTTGCTTTTATTTGGTTTTTGTTTATTTTGTTTTTATTTTGCTATTTCAGATAATGCTGTGTTGAATGACATTGTCTTTATACACATCAAGATACATTTCTAAAAACGGTATCTTTAGGTCATATGTACATTTTTAATTTCAAAAAACATTACCCAGTTGCCCTCTAGAAATTTACCTTTTCACCTACAGTGTATGAGAGGGCCTGTTTGCCCACATCTTTGCTTGGTGCTATCTTTTTTTTTTTTTTTTTTTTTTGCTACACTGATATGTTAAAAATGGCATCACATTGTTGTTATAATTTGCATCTTATTAATGAAGTTAGGTGTATTTTCATTTTTCATCACCACATATATTACTTATTATGTGGATTATCTGTTCATAACCTTTGTCCACTTTAAAATTAAGTTGTCTTGGGCCGGGCACGGTGGGTCACGCCTGTAATCCCAGCACTTTGAGAGGCCGAGGTGGGCAGATCACCTGAGGTCAGGAGTTTGAGACCAGCCTGACCAACATGGAAAAACCCCGTCTCTACTAAAAATACAAAATTAGCCAGGCGTGGTGGTGCATGCCAGTAATTCCAGCTACTCGGGAGGCTGAGGCAGGAGAATTGCTTGAACCCGGGAAGCAGAGGTTGTGGTGAGCCAAGATCGCACCATTGCACTCTAGCCTGGGCAACAAGAGTGAAACCCCATTCAAAAAAAAAAAAAAAAAAGTTGTCTTTATCTTATTTTTAAGTTTTTAAAAATATATTATGGATATTAATCCTTATTTCATTGTTTCTCAAACTTAAGTTTGAGTACTGATTTCTCTTGAAGCAAAGCATTCTTGATCCATAGTGCCAATTTATTTTTTATTTGATGTTACTTTATGTGAAAAAACTATTACACTAGGAATTAATTCTAATTCTTAATAAACAAATTGACACCTTAAATACAAAGAAAATACAAAACCAATACAAATGGAATCAACGCAAAATGCAAGTCACCACTGTTGTTGGTTTGACACTGAACCTTCATTTGCATGGTGGATGTGGCACTGACTGCTGCCCTCTTCTTCCCCAGGGTTCAGTGTGCCTGCGCCACCACATGTTGTGTGGGACACCAAGTCCTCCTCCCCATTTTTCTCCCATGGAATTCGTGTGAAACTTTTACATCTATTTCTCTCCGACGTATTTGCTTTCACTTGACAAAAGTGTATCACTAACCGTTGATGATTAAAGTTGTTCAGCCTGTCACCAGTGTCATCCACTCATGTATATTAAAAGTTTGTTATGTGCCTACTCTGTGCCAGGATTTGAGCCATGCTCTGAGGAATGAACAAAGCAAATGAACAAAAATGAACAAAGCAGACAAGATTCATGTTGACATTCTAGTAATTCTAAATAAGCAGACTGAACAATTTCATCCAGTGATAGTAACTATTAAGAAAATAAGCCAAACGCATTGGCTCATGCCTGTAATCTTAGCACTTTGGAAGGCAAAGGGAGAGGGTCATTGAGCCCAGGAGGTAGAGGCTGCAGTAAGCTTTGCTTATACCACTGCACTCTAGCCTGGGTGACAGAGCGAGATCATGTCTCTAAAAAAAAGAAAAGAAAAGAACACATGGACTGTGGTAGAGACTCAGAAGAGACTACTTTACATTGGGTGACTAGAGAGGTCTCTCTGAGAAGATGCTATCTGAACAAGTCTCAGCCAGCAGCCTGTATCAACTGCCAGACATCTGCAATTTAGGCAGAGCTCAGTGGGAACATCTTGCCTCTACTCCACTGGGCACCAGCTGAGGTATTGATGCTGTCCCCACTGAGCTCTGCCTAAATTACAGAATTTTTAGCAAAATAAATGTTAGTTTTTAAGTTGCTAAGTTTGAGGCAGTGTGTTATATACTAACAGATAATTTGCACAGTATAAATAATACATGAATAAAATAATTCATACAATATTTAAAAAAATAAGGAAAAAAAGTGAAAATGACTTGAAGTTTCACCATGCAGAGAGAAAGTAACTTAATAGTCAAGTGACTAATTTCACATGTGTGGGCATCTGTAGTTTGACTTCTATTTATAGAGTTGGTAGTGATGTATTTTTGTTATTGACTTCCCTCCTCTCGACTACCTTCTCCTCTCCCTTTCCCTTCCCCTTCTTCTTCTTTCTATTCTCCTCTTCCCCCCTGCTTCTTCCCCCTCCTCTTCCTTCTTCTTTTCTTCCCCCTCTCTCTCTCCCCTTACCTCTCCTTCTCCTTCTCTTTTTCTTTTCTACTCTTCTTCTTTTACATTTTTTCCTTACCTCCAAATTCCCCAGTCTCGGACTCCCTTTTCTATGCCATCTAACATTGACAAAATCTAGTATATGTCCTTTCTCACCTTTGTCCATGCTGAAACAATTTTATACAAATTTATTTGTAATTTTGTAACTTTACAAATGTATGAAACTTACATTTGTAATTGTATTTATTTGTAATATTTTCATCGTACAAATAGATACAATACTCTGCATCTGGCTTTTTACACTTAGTGGTGGCATAGCATCTGATTGTATGAATATTCCATAATTTACTGAATCATTCTCCTCTTTTGA